ATTCTATATTAAAAAAAAAGAAAAAAAAACAAATTTGTGCAAAATAATAAAGTGTACACGTGTTTGCAATTTCCAAATATAATTAGTGGATTTCCATGTTAAAACGAGGATTTTTATCGCTTCAGTTCGGAATTTAATCGCCAACTGTATGAGCCATCTGCATTTATTTAATTTTGCAGTAGCTAGTTCAAACCGATCTTCGATGAAATACAGAATTAATGTTTAAATGTATAGTAAAACAACGTTACATTGCAAGGGCATTACACTGAAATTGCATTAAAGCCACGACACGTAAAGTTACTACGTTAAAAAGCTACAAGTGGGAGATGTTATTCAAAACTTAAACAAATATGCCGCAACCGCCAGTAATGAAAATCAACTTCCTTTTTTATCAATTATTGTCCAAAATTGTGAATTTTCGTTAAGTTCCGCAATCTAGTAATTATATTTTTCTTTTTAATAGAATCAACCCATAGTTTTAAAGATTGGAATATTATACAGTGTTATACTATTGTATTATACAGTACTTTATTCTTTTTATCCAGCACACTGAGGGTTAACACTAATTAATTCTTCACTGCATGTCTATGGCGTAAGAGTAATTTATTTATCATATTCGATGATTTTTCAGGTCGATCAAATGAATAAAATCGTAGAAGTACTAGGAATGCCACCGAAACATATATTGGACCAAGCGCACAAAGCGCGGAAATACTTTGACAAAATCCCCACGGATGGCTCGTATGTGCTGAAAAAATCTAAGGACGGTAAAAAGTACAAACCTCCTGGCACGAGGCGCCTGCACGATATCTTGGGCGTGGAAAGCGGAGGCCCTGGTGGTAGAAGGATAGGTGAACCTGGCCATTCAATTTCTGATTACCTCAAATTCAAAGACTTGATTCTGCGGATGCTGGATTTTGATCCGAAAACAAGGGTGACGCCGTATTACGCACTTCAGCACAATTTCTTTAAGCGAACAGCCGACGAGGGGACCAACACGAATATTGCTGCTGCCAACAGTGCTAACACGAGCCCGGCAGTAGTATCGATGAGCCAGGATCACGGTAAGTTATTGTATACGTATTAGTATCTATAGCTTACATTCTTTTACTTAATGGATCAATTTAATGCGTGACAAATTACTGATAGTCCTTATTTATAATTAACATGTTTAATGTATATTAAGATCACACTGCTTACAATAATAGCATTCTCAAACATTCGTTCTGGTTACAAGTTAAGCTGTACTGTGTCTCTTTAAATTTCTTTGATGGAATAATGAACAATAATTTTTCTGTACGTATTATCACTTTTAAGGGGCTTTTCATACAGCAAGTAAATACATACTTTATAATGTAAGATGTATATAAACTTTCAATAACTATATGATTAAATGTTAGAGGTAACAATGGGTCTTTATGTATTATACCACATACAAAATTGAGATTGTTAATTGCAAATTCTATTTATCTCATACACAATTTCTCTTTCATATCATTTATTAAGCTTTAACATTAGAAACATATAAACATTTATCTAAAAAATATTATGAATTGGTCAAGATAAAAAATTAAGGAAATCTTTTGAATTATTTCGCTTCTCACATAATTAAAATCTTCAGATCGGAACATAAACGATTCTCACAAAAGTTTCGAAAGTATACTATTAAATCGACTTAACATTTTATGGAACCACTCCATAACATTGAAGATTTAGGCAGGCTTTAATTTGTGCAGAAAATAAGAAACTTCCTCGTATTATTTTTTAATAAAAAGTTACGAAGCTCATTTGAAAAATTGGCGATTAACACTATTTGTAAAACGAATATTTCCGTTCACAAAGAATTTTTGGATCATACAATAGTAAGAGTGAAAGGAGTATTTTATTAGTAGATTATTTAATGCTTAAAATGTGTTGTTTAGTAATTAATTATTTTAATAGTGTTTCTATAAGGTATATCCCTTACTGATATCTTTTATTTTCTGCGCAAACTAAACAATACTTGTTGTTGCCCGTAGATATGATGGGGGGACAGTACGTGGCTCGATGACTGTCGTATCCGCGGGGCGGCGACGACCTGTCCTAGGCCCCAACCCTAATCTTACTTACTAACATAAGTAAGTTCTGTCTAACAAACAATCCTACAAGCTGAGAAACTAACAATGTCCCTGATAATAATCATATCCTGGCCTCGGATGTAATATGCGAAACCTTGCTTGCTTAACCAAATGAAACTCGCACTTTCAATTCTTCGAAACGAGACACGGATTCACATTGATTGCCCGTGCCTCCAAACCTCGATACAATATTCTTCTATACAATTAATACATCTGTAATAAGATTATTACTTTAGAATGTTCTTGTCGATATGACGTGCTATCCTAGAATTTCGAAATAGCAAACATCAAATACCATTACTGGAATATGTTCTTCCTAATGTTCTCCATGCAAACGTGTATGTAACCTGTAAAGAATATGACGAATCATCATATGGTCATTATGACGCGTGTTTCATTGTATGCATATGTAATATGTCGGTTGCTTGATATCAAAGAGTGTATTCCAACTAAAAGTATTTGAATAGCATATCTGTGTTAATTAAGTTTCTTTTCTGTAGAGCGATTACTTCATTGTCTTGTACTTTATTTTATGCATGCCTTAACCGCTTGCATACAGCACGTTTAGGAGTACGTCCTCGTCAAATATGCGAGACATTAGATATTGCTGTTACATTGAAAATTCCTGTGTAACACACAAGAATTTCGTGAACGTATACGATGCACATTCATTTCTGTAGGTTCCATTTTACTCGAATAATTTCTTTCTACTTTGTACAGTTTTTATAAGTAAACTGGAGAAATATGGAATACAGGGTGTGTAAATGTTTATCAAAATACATGAAATTTATTTTAGGTGCAAATAATTGTATACACTATACGTAAAAGAATATCTGAATAATAAAAGATTTTTTTACTAGAAATCTGATGGTATTAGTAGGATTTATTATTTCAAATTTTATTATTATTCCAATAAATACTTGGTAACTTTTTCTTAATGAAAAACAATATTCCGATGAAGAAGTTAATCATTTAAATATATATTTTCCTCATCTTGTAAAATCGAATCCTTTTCTATGATTCATTTAACCACGTTTATGACTAAAGTATACGCTAGTTTAAACATGATTCTTTTATTTCACAATAGTAGCTAACTGGTATTTTGTGGAAAATTTTAATTGTAATTTTAAGTGGTAATAGGTGTATTGTATAGGTATATCATAATAACATCTTATACCATTAAGAGAAGCGTATGCAAATTTGTTAAGTGCTATGTTAAATTTGAGCATTATGTATTTATGTTAATTTGGACATTGCAAATTTCTCTTCCCTTATTCTTTAAAGTAGACTTAATTTTATCTATGATAGATATTAATACAGAATATGAAATGTAACATTGTCAAAATTGATGGTACGAATGGTATGTGGTAGTAAAATACGTATTTGAATGGTGAAGTAAACTATAATTAGTTAGAAAGTTGAGATATTATAATATACTTAAGAACTTGTTGAATTTTAACTGTATGTGTAAATGTTCATAAATCAGCTGATAAGACTTATAAATTCAATTTTTAAATTTAATCAAAATAATTATGAATACCATTTTATAATGACATTCTATCTGATGTATTTTAAAGAGAAATATACCGTCGTAGAATTTTCAATAAGTAACAAGTTTTGTAAGAAATATTTAAGTTCATGAAAACTACATAAAATCTTCTTCCATCATTTAACAATAATGTGTCACAATTATTAATAGCAGTATAGAGGAGACTGAAACTTATTATCTAGTATACTCGAACACTGAGGTAAACAAATGTACAGTTTTACAAATGAAAATCTACAATTTGTTACTCGACTTAACAATGGAAAGTGGAAGAGAGGGAATAAAATGAGACAATAAAACATTAAGTTCAGTGCCTGGAATGTATCCCTGTAGTAGT